GATCTACTTGATTTTAACTATTTTTTAAATTTAAAATTTTTATAATTAGATATGAAAATAGATTTTCAGATAGTTCTAATATTTTTTTATGCAAAAAATACATGTTATGATAAATTTAGAGTTGCGCGATTGTTTAACATTGCAACCTTATAGAAACCACACCCTTATTAATTTCAATAGGATTGCACACTTATCAAACTATTTTTCAGAAATAAAAGTTGGATTTTTTTCTTACATTCTTAGATAATTAATAAAAATCGATCCTTCTAAATTTATAGAATACCAATAATGTTAATTGTCTTCACTTAGAGCCTCTTTAGATGACAATTAATTTTATTTAACTATCTTTTCTAAAATTAATATACTTTATATAATATTATTATATTAGCTTTGTAAGAAATAATTTGTATTGTGTACAACATTATGTAATTATTTATTTTTTTTGGATGATTTACAGGTATTTTTGACAAAATATATATGATTTTTAACTAATTATTTTGAATAAAATAAAAAAACTAAATAGATAAAACATATGTAAGGAAAAGTATGTAACGAGACCATTTACTCTTAATATAAGGAGGTCACAAATCTTGATGACCATTAGATGTGAAATTGGATATTTGAATGTATGTCACTTAGTAGGCACAAAATCTAAAATAAATTTCTTTGAACTTATGACAAACTTAAGCCATTGAGTTTAACTTCCAATAGGTAAGATTAATTGCGGATCATTTTTGTATTAAAAATAAATGACAACGTAGTATAAGGGAAAAGTTTATATAGAGCCAAGGCTCTAAATAATCAAATTTTAGCCTACCCCAAAAATTTCCCTAGAAGAGGTTGTTTTGATGCCCAAATATCTTCAAATCGATCATCTCGACATCAAGATGCATGGTCATGAGAAAAATAAATGGATTTAAAGTTTTGGAAATAGTATATTTTATAACATATTTTTTGACCGTCAATTTTCAAGATTTCAAGTTTTCATCGATTCATCGATCTATACTATTTTTTAAGCTTTAAAATTTATAAATAAATATGAAAAATATATTTTAAAGTTATCACAAAAATTTTCAATATTAAAACCAAATTTCTCGATATTGTTTGAAGGTAGGCTCTAATTGTTTAGATCCTAAGCTCTATACAAACCGCACCCTATATATAATTGCCTGTAAGTTTGTATTTTTGCTTTTAGGATCAACTTTATTAAGATAGGGAATCACTAAGTACGAGTACATTTAAACATGCCCTTAAATTGCAAACTTTACATGAATTTTCGTAAACTTGCACAGGTATTAGGTTTACTCAAAAATCATTTGGAGCAAAATGAAATTCTAAATACATGAAAAGAAAAGTCGTTATTAATTAGGTTTAATTCCAAAATAGAGGTAAAAAAGACTTGAATGGTTCACGGAAAAATATGAAGTTTCTATAAGGCCTAGGCTTTATGATAAATAAATAAGGCATCATCTTAAATCCTCATGTGAAAAACACTTTTGACATCGGAAATTTTCATGATCGTTCTAAAATTATTTTCTAACATTATCAATAAAATTTTAAACTGAAAAAATAATACAGATCTTGTGGATCTATGAACACTTATTTTTAGGGAAAAATAAATGATCTAAATGGTTTGTTGCAATATACACTGCTCTTAGAATTTGAAATTATAATTTTGTTGTACAACCATAATGTTCAAGCTGAGATGATTGATGTAGAAGTTTTTCAAAACTTAAATTACAATTTTTGATGAGCTATGAGGTGAGGCTTTACTTGTTTTGATAAAGTTGCAGCCCTATCAAACCATTTAAAGACATAAAAAGAGTGATTATTTCATATTCAATTTAGAAAAATTGAGCTAAAAAAGTATGAAAAAGGAGGATGGATAATCAAGTTCAAGTAGAACATAAAAAAATCACAATTCAAAATGTAAATACTCAACAATGAATCGATATCAAGGCCATGTTGGTGCTCAAAGGAAAGTGTATTAAGTCGCAGCTCATCAAAAATACAAATAAAGATAGGAATCGGGCTTGAGCTAAGACGGTAGCAGCTCGGTTTTCATAGCACTATGTCTCAAGTTCTATTTATATGAACCTTGTTAAAAAAAACCAACACAAATAAATGTTTTAAAGAAAGTTTTAAATGCTTTTCAAATGAAAATGCTATGCAATAAAACTTAGTTAATTTTTTATAATTTATTTCTAAAAAATGCCCTTGAAACATGTTTAAAATAGGAATAGTTCTGGAAAGAAGACCTTGTTTTAAATAGTACTCCTATACGTTAAAAACACAATAAAGCCTACAATTACAATAGGAGAATGGGCATGGGGTGCCATGTCTTTGGCACAAAGGGTTGGGGCATTATGTTTGACACCTTTAAATCTATTTTATTTGTTAACAACTTCTTTGGCCTTGGGATTTTCGGTGAAGTTTTAGATTAATGATCAAACAAGTCACACGAGATCTCCACCGTTCACTCCCAGTGCAAATAATGGATTTAAATGCATTGCTCTAGACCTCCTAAACACTTCCTATGCATTTGTATGCATAATAGATGATAGATATGTTGGATAATATATTTAATATAAAGTCTAATAAATAAAGGGGAAAGTTTATATAGAGTCAAGGCTCTAAACAATCAAATTCAAGCCTGTCTGAAAACTTTCTCTAGAGTAGGTTGTTATGATGCCCAAATATCTGTCAATTGATCATCTCAACATCAAGATGCATGGACATGAGAAAAAAATGGATTTCAAGTTTGAAAATAGTGTATTTTGTAACATATTTTTGGACCATCAATTTTAAAGATTTTCAAGTTTTCATAGATCTCTCGATCTACATCATTTTTTAAGCTTTAAACTTTATAAATAAATATGAAAATATATTTTAAAGCTATCAAAAAGATTTCTAGAGTTGAAACCACATTTCTCGACACTATTTGAAGGTAGGCTCTAATTTGATTGTTTAGAGCCTAGGCTCTATACAACCCGCACCCATAAATAAAACCAAAAAAGCAAAAGGATTGTATACAGACCACTTAACTTTAATACAAGGAGGTCATAATTATTTACAGCTATCTGATGTAAACTCTGATAGCTTGGGTCCGCCACAAAGTTCGACAAAATATTTTTTGACATTTGAGCTTTGGTCAATCGAATAAATGTAGCCATCTAATTTCATATCTAATGGTTAATATTAATTGCTACCATCTTATACTAAAGATAAATAGTATCATTGTATACTTTTCTAAAAATAAATACATAATATATATTCAATATAAAGCCCAAGAGAAGGATTCTACAACCTTGCTAGAGTACTCCAATGGGAGTACATTTACTTCGTAAGGTGAAATAGATATTCAAGAGGAATTTGGATTTCTTCACCTTAAATTTGATGTAAACATTGGAATGACCAGATGAGCGTTTTCAATTAGAAAAAAAAAACAGAGATTGATTTCTCAACACTTAAATCTAACTGTTAAAAAAAAAACTGACATACTTTGCTCAAATTCTCTTTTTCTACATATTGGTCTATACTCTATAGTTTATAGTCAATTTAAGGATGTTAGTCTTTCAATAATAATGAAATTAACATAAACTTTTTCCTTTTCTTTTTTTCTCTTTTGAGGACTTTTGGGGTCGTTTACTTGAAAGAGTAAATGGATAGTATATTCATTCACATCTAATCTTTCAACAATATCTTTTAGTCTTATCTTTTACTAAAATAATACCAAAAACATGGGTGGCCCTAGTAGGTCAGAGACCCCAAGATGTAGATCACAAAAGAAGCATGTTCACCTAAACTAGTGGCAAGCAATAAAAGCTGCCTAGTGAATAAAATAATCTCCTAATTTGGAGGTGGTTAGTTATGAGTAATACTATTATAAGGGTGTACTCTGTATAAGGT